AACCAGAACATATGAACCTTTTGCCAAAACGAATAACAACTTTATTATCAAACATAGCGGAAAAATTGTTCATAAACAACTTAGAAACTGAAATCAAATTCTTTCTTAAATAAGGAACATAAAGACAATCTTTCAAAACTAGAAACCTATCTAAGCCAAAATCTAAATAGACGTCTCCCACTGCAACTGCTGATGCTCTACTAGCATCACCCAAGTAGATGGTAACTTCTCCTTCCCTAAGTCGCTTGGTTTCCTGGAACCTCTGCAATGAATTTCAGACATGATCAGTGGCCACTGTATCTACACACCAGGTACTGGTAGATAACACCTCTAAATATGTTTCAACGACTAAAGCAAAAGGTGTACCTTTATCGGACTTCTTGGGGAAAGGGCAGTTTGCCTTCCAGTGTCCTTTCTGCTGGCAATTGTGGCACTTGCCTTTCGGCTTCTTCGCCTTTTGTCGAGGTTGCGCGTCACTCATGACCGCTTTGCCCTTTCCTGCGGACTTCTTCCTCTCTTTGCCCTTAGGAGCCTTAGAAGTGGAAGCTTCTCCCGGCTGGGCCACCATAGCTTGGTTCTTTTGACGAAATAGGCCCTCTGCCGACTGAAGTTCAGAGACAAGTTTCGGAAGAGTCATCAACATCTTATTCATGTTGTGACTCAACCGGAATTGCTCGAAGCTCTTCGGCAAAGACTGGAGCACTATATCGACCTGGGTTTCCCCGTCAATAAAAGCTCCAAGAACCTCCAGCTCATTCAGCTGGGCCATCATAGCAAGAACATGTTCCCTAACGGGAGTGCCCTCGCGCATGGTCATGTTCATCAGAATCCTCATGGCTTCTTGTCGGGCAGCTCGCGACTGATGACCAAATAACTCCTTGAGATTGAGAAGCATCTCTGCTGCAGTGTTCATAGACTGATGTTGATGTTGACGTACATTTGACAAAGATGCCAAGATGTAACACTTCGCCATCTTGTCAGCTTTTTTCCACCGAGCATACTTCTCTTTCTCTTGGTCTGGTGCATTGTCAGCAGGCACAGCCGGACAAGCCTCAACAGTAGAAAATTTGTACCCTTCAGCAGTTAACACAATATCCAAGTTCCTTTTCCAGTCAATATTATTGGGACCAACAAGTTTGTTTTCTTTGAGAATTACGGACAACGGATTGAAAGACATTTTGAATTCCTGGGTTCATACAAACATAGTCTTTACTCAGTCAAGTAGTTTTGAATTTATACATCAAATATTGATCCCATGTAACAATATTCAAATAAATTCACCAACACCTCAAAACACCGAATCCCCGCAGGCCACAGAGTGTGGACGTCTACGGTTCAAACATTCGTAAGAGGAGGGATAAATCCCATTAGCTTAACATACTGCCGAGCAATACTTAACTAATAGTCGGTTTCATCTTTTGGCCAGCGCAATTAACTTTATAAAAGAATAAAAACGACCTTATCCTTTGGGACTATCGTAATTCTTTGCACTTTAAGTGTAACCCATTAATTGGTACTAAGTTTACTTACCAAAATTATACGTCCACCTTTGGGTGACCCGTACGCTTTTGAAATAGCTCACTATAACCATCCCGAAGGAGATTCGTCCTTGTGAACTATGAAATAAAACGTCCTTTGGGCTCGAATTAAATCACTTCACTGACAAACCTATAATGGAGGCCTTGGATGTAATTTATTTCAACCCATTACACACTTAATATAATTTTTATTTTATGAGATTTTCAAAAACATGTTTGTGTTTGCACATAAGCAATCACATAAAACATGCATGATTAATGAGAAATAATAAACTAGGAACTATAATCCAACTATCATGGCCATTAATCAATCTCCAATGTTACGGAGAAAACACAGTCCTGTCCTTGTTGAGTGTGTCCTCCATTTCAGGTATTGGAACTCCCCTTTCGCAATGACTCCCACTGAATTGGTTGTCTCCGGGAAAGTCGCCATTGGATCATCACCATGGCATCCGTGTACGTGTTTATCGCCTCGCCCCGTCAAGGTTGGTCCACGCCCGCCGGATCAATAACGAATAATATAAACAACAATTATATAATTCATCCTATGACCCACGCAAGAGCCGTACATGAATTTCTATGAAAGCAATAAACTATGCGGTGTCCCATCGCGCGAATAATTTATTACAAGCATTCACCAACCAAAAAATTCCTTGACATGTCCAAGGCTTTAAAAACAGCATACATTCAACATGAATTAAAATCCATACATACGGGCCACAATAGTCGGATTCAAAACACAAAAACTTATTGCAATTTTTAATCTACTATGCCGCTGCGTCCGTACGCACATAATTCATGTAGACAGACAAAGTCCAAAATTCAAACTGTGCACGAGTTTGCATTAAGCCTGGGCTCTGATACCAGTTGTTGGGTTCTGTTAGGAACGTCAAACAACATGCACAGTATTGAACTTATCGAAATCAATCTTAACGCAACAGAATCTATAGTTAGGATATGGACGTTTACCTTTTAAAATTTTTGCCGACTCTGAGACGATGTAGAGTACCGTTGATGAAGTTCGTCTGAACACCACAACCTAATGGGAAGATAGGTTTGGCCTTTAGTCGATTCTAATCGACACGTCAAACGGACCTCGGTCGAACAATGGCTTGGTCTCGGCGTCGGGTTGCAGCAGACGTCGGTCGCGGGTGAGCAGCGGCTCAGTCGGGCGCGTCAGGCGCTGGGCAGACATGCGGAGAGACGCTGGGAACGCGGACGGGCGCTGGCGGGACTCCTCGGCACTCGCGGACTGGCGCTGGGCGTGTGCGCGCACGCGGGAGGCACTCCTATGCTGAGGCGGACTGGGCGTGCGCGTCTGGGACCAC